AGCGGGTCACCTTGTCATAGAAGGAGACCAGGTGAGTGAAACAGGATCTCCCTTTCATAAACCCATGCTGGCTGGGCCTGATCCCTCGGTTGTCCCGCACTTGCTGCATAATGGCACTCAAGATGACCTGCTCCATGACCTTCCCCGGCACCGAGGTCAGGCTGACAGGCCTGTTATGGATTATACAGTTCTTAAAACTTTGTAATTTAGTTTCTCAATATTAACAGTAAAAATTATGGAAGTGTGCATGGGGCAGGGGTAAATTACAAGAACAGATTTTTACTTCTGTTTTCTAGGAATATCCCAAATCTTTCTAGTCCCTAAATACCTAAGTACTAAAAAGCTAGCTGCTACATACAAGCTAAATTAAATAAAGACTGCAAATCTGAACACTGTCTCAGATAGAAGCAATGAGGAAGTGTTTATAGTTAAAGTGAGACTTTATGCCTGCTGGTACAAGACACAGATACAGCGTGAAGCAAGGGAGATGAAACGGGCCCCACCAGCAGAGCTTCTGCTGTTTTAGGAGCGCACAATCCCTCTCCCCCCCAGTGACAAGACCCTGAAGAAACCCTTAACTACAGGTTCGTTATCGCCGTTCCCCAACAGAAAATAAAGGAACCGTTCTGTCACTGTAATAGAAACACAACAAATGATACGTGAGCAATGTTCTACAGAAGCAATTAAATATTAATTCCAGAGTTAAGCCCTTTCTTGATTACTGCTTTAATGATACTGTTGTATAAACAGCACAGTAGGCAAGTCTTTTTAAAAGAGGTCCAAACAAGTATGTAAAGAAATGTTTTCACACAAAAAGTAAAAATCTATGTAGAAAAGAAACTAAAATAGTCCCTATTTCCATCTATCTAATATAGATCTGGGTTATAAAGGTTAAAAAAAATCTGTAAATAACAAGCATAAAAGCAGTTGATGGCTAATGCACTTTTGTTTTATTTTATATAATCAAGATGTTAGTAAGTGATGATATTGCTCTCCCTCCTTGATTTTACATCACTCATAAAAAAACTTGCCCAATTTATAGCATGTATAGATCATAAAGCTTCAGATGCTCAAGTGACAGATTCTTTCAAAAACTGTGTGTAATAGCAATTTAAAAAAAAAAAAAAAATCTTAAAAGTAATTCCAGCCAACTGCTAGCTAGATCTTAAATAACAGCATTTGAGTGTGTACTGCCTTTTAGTGGTCTGATTTGTCTCTAGGATAGAACACTTCACAAAACAGCTGAAAAGACACAGTATTGGCCCAAACATTTTCTCCAACAGGCATAAAAAGATGCTGCATAAGCAGAGATTAAGCCTGAACTCTCTGGACCTCAAAATGCACAACTCTGAACCTGAATAAAAGGCTATTTAAGACAATAGAAATTATCTCGCTTCTCTAGAATTTGCAGAAAATCTACTCTTTGATCTTTTTTTGTCCCCTGCAACCCACAAATACCATTTTCTAATATCCAAATAACACAGTTGCAGCTGTCCTACCCAAAGATACACCATAACAAGCAACTGTAGCAGAGGAAACAGTAAGAATGGTAAAAGGTATAGTTTTAAAACAAGAATAAACTTGGAAAGGAAACAAATGACAGAAGTTATAACTGACACCTTCCAAACTATGCATCACGTTTGAAAACTATGCAAAGCCTGAACAGAGAACATTTCCCCGCTTCCCACAGAGCCAAGAACAAGGAGGCAACGAAGGAAAATATCACTCAAACATGCTTAAAACAAAGGAAAAGGCATTTCACACAATGTTTAATAGATCGTGGAACTCATTGCCACAGGATGCTGTATACAACAAAAATACCTGCCGGTAATTTGTCCACCACGGACCACATATTCTTTGCAGTTTGTTGCAACCACTAGAAGATCTTGATGATTCCTCCCCAATCGTATTTAGCGATCCCAGCACGTGGAGCCCTCGCTCATGAACCAGGTGTGCAACAGCAAACTGAACTTTACTGTACCCAAACACTTCACTCCTATAAAAGATGTCTTTCCTAATGCAGTTCTTATGAAGAAAGCTGAAAAACTTTGAAATCACTATATTTATTATGCAGCTTTAGAGCTGTGAAAGAGGAAAAAACAAAAAAGGCATTGTTACAATCTAGTATATCCTTTAGGTTAAAAGCAAAAAAAAACCACACACCCCCCGCTCCCAAACCATGTTACCCACGCCACTCGGGCAGCAAAGGAAAAATTCATTCCTAGGTCATAAAATCCTGTTACCACGTTGCTCCTAAGTAAGCCCTGGACACTGTTCATAACCCCAACCAGCAGAAGAGAGAAGCGGCGTGTCGGCGCAGGAGAGGATCCCCAGGCTGAACGGTTACGTGACACCTCCTCAGAGGCTCGCAGCTCTCCTCGGGTCCCACAGCTCTCAGAGCTCTGCCTCTCCTCAGCCCCGCTGCTCCCCGGCTCAAAGCTCAGGGGAAGGGAAGGCAACCCTCAAACACAACTATCTCCTCTTCGCCACTGTCCCATACAAATCTTTGAGGTGATTCTTAAGAAGCGGCACTAGTTCACGCTCATGTTAACTGGAAGCGCTTTGCTCTATAGCGATCTTAAACTGAAACTCCTCGTCTACAAAGAGTCGCAGAGCCACTGTTGAAAACTCTTCTCCCTCACTTCCTGTGCATCCTTTGAAGCACTCTGAATCCACTTGAGAAGCCAGCTCTAATCTTCTTTACAAACCCCTCTGCTACTTCAGTTGCACAATGGCTGGCACAACCTCATCCCCCACGCATACGCTGCGAGTATGAGTACAGAATACAAATGGGCGTACACACCGAGTATGATAAAAACATTAGAACCTCTCATGCCTTGATACATCATTTTTTAGCAATTAGGTAAAATGCTCCAGTTGCTTTTTCAATGAATTCCTATTACTTAAAGAACTGCAGAACAATGGCATTAATGAAAGTTAATTATAATCTTTTCAGAAGAACAGCCTCAATGAGATTTGACTGCACTTCTTTTCAAAAGGCAAGTTGTTTAGTATCCAGCACAGCCCCCTTCAGCTATTAGGAGGAGCCTTACAGGTGACACTCTTCTATCTCAGTCTCATACGTGGCAAACACTGCTGGCAGCAGCTGAGAAACCTGCTCCGGGGGCACCCACCCCCGTGCCCACACCGCAGCCCCCGTGCCCACACCACGG